ATTGTTTTTTATCTTCTCGTATAGCTTCTGTCAAGATTGTTATTATTTTGTTCCAGGTTTTACTCTGCAATCTGGTAAGAGCTCCGAGTGAGAATTTTATTAAGATTGGGATGGAACCTTAAACCCGAATGATAATCTCATACTTATTAGTCAACATATACACCTTGCCAAGAAAATTTTATGATCTTCTTAATGTAAAAACATGATAATCTCATAACTTGAGCTCTCAGTTCCAGTTTGAAACATTAAATACATCAGTTTTAAGATCAGTATCAACTTGGAAAACAAATATACAAAGGAGAAGACCAGTAAAAACAGAGCAAAACTACAAAAAGCAGAAAATACTTCTCTGAGAAGGGGAGCCGGATACATTAAAAAATGGTTTGAAATTTTAGATTACTTGCCATGGAAGTAGACAGAAGGAAGTGGGAATGACAGATAGTGGGAGTCACTTTACTCTTTTAGTCAGCTGTTACTTTTCGCGATTTTTCTTTTTTTTTTTGTTTCTGGGTGTATACAGGGCTTTTCACATTTCATTTGCATGATTTTTTCTAGGCTCGGCTACAGGTAGAACCTCAACTACTATGTTATAACTTCAAGCAGAGCCTAACTACTAGAGATATGGTGAGGAGAAGCATTTACTGTGAAATTGTTTAAACTTATCTATGTAGTGCTTTAGAAACATATTTCGAACTTATGCTTAATGCTTCTTCACGCGTGATTCCTCAGGTGGAACCTCTGCCATTATCAAAATTTGATCCAATCAATGGCTGTAATTGGCTATAATCTGCAACTCTTTCTTTGCATGGCAATCAGTCGCCAATGGATCCAGATAGATATCCTCTCAATCATGAGCATGAAGATGTCACAAATTTACAGCGTTTAGTCTACAGGAGAATACCTTGCTAGAAAGCAAATGAATATTCTCCAATGACTGTTGAGGAGCATTAGGTCAATGGAGATTCATGGACATTAATTGTAACAATGTTCATAATCATGTTATCGTTAATGCTACAACCTCTCTGATTTTGAGATTAATAGTTAAATCACTAGCATATTCAAGAATGTGCTAACTAAGTTCATCGTGAAATCTACCTTATGCAACTCCACCCGAGAATGATGTGAGTTCGTCATTACTCATGAGATCGTTGCGTTAGATTCTCCTTATCATCTTCCAAAAACATTTCCTATATATTAACAGAAGACCCTGCAAACGGCAATATAAACCAAAATCTCTCAACTGTGTATTTGATAAATAGAATGCCGACTTAGGAAATGTTTCACCTTTTAAGAAATTGTTCAATAAGCACCTCCCTTGCAATCTTTGGTTGCTCTACAACAAACACAAATTTGATTTCAATATCTTTGAAAATCAGATTCAACCACAAAAGCCATTGAAATATTTTTTTGCTTTGCATTAACAATCCTTTGGAGCCTGAACAGGAGGATAGTATTGAAATAGTGATTTGGTATTGGCTTTTGAATTAGTGATTAAGAAAATATATTAAAGGTTTATGATGGTTATTATGGTTTATTATGCATGTGATTGTGTTACTGGAAATGTGCCCGGGTGGAAGAAATCAAGTGACAACAGCCCGGGTTACGGTCAATACAGCAGTTTGGGCTGCCAGATTTACAAGAAGTTGGGCCTTAATTGGCCCAAAAATCATATTAAATATGCTTATGTCAGTGATTTTTTTTTTTTTTTTTTTTTTTTTAATGCCGGAAGTGTTCATGTCAGTTTATGCATACTTTAATTATTCTTCGGATACCTTGAAATTATCAATCAGATAATAATTGTAGTAGTTATCCCTATTAACATTCCAAAAGAAACTTAAACTCAAAATCTCTTTAATAATACATTTAAGAATCTTTACCGAACCACTCAATCACCTAAAGATAATTTATGTTGGTGATGTTGCTAACAACTTTGGAGGGTCTTATTAAAGCTTTGGAATTAATAATTGTATTTAGTTATTGATCCAACAATACACCTTACCAAGAACAGTTTTATTCCAATGAAGGAATATTGAAATCATATTCTGATATTCATATATGAAGAATGGAAATAATAAAATGAAAGAATTCACAAGGAGCATGTGGCAGGAGAATGGAAGATGAGGCAAAGAACGAAAGATGAGGCAAAGAATGAAGGAAAGATGACAAAATGAGAAGAAGATTCTAGAGGCAGCTGAGGAAGATTCTAGAGTGGAAATAGAGAGATGGCGGGGTCCTTTCTTATACGGCTTGCAAAAGAAGGATAGCCTTCGTGTCACTTTCTCCCATTTAGTTCTTATCCTTAACACTTGATTAATCTTTAACGGTTCTGTTCCTTTATATACATTCGTCAAATAGTCTTCAAAGAGTAAATGACATATTTTCACCCGGGGTTTAGCAAAATCCTTAATTGGTATCTCTATTTGTATTTATTCTAGATTTTTACCTATAAACTAATATCGTTATTGAGTATTGGAAGTGATCTAAAACGTTGAGTGAGTTGTAGAGGAGGTTGTGAGAAGTCCAACGGTGGTTTTGGAAATAATTTTGGACTTCGAAATCAGTCGACAAAAGCCAAAAACTGGCAGCTTGGACACTACTAACGTGAGCCATTTTTTGCTAAAATGAACTCATCTTCTACCAAGGAAAACGTCGGCGTATTTTAGCGAGCTAATGTGCGTTGCACTACAGTAAAACGTTGAAAATATGTTAAAATAAAGGAAACAACGTTACATTAAGGAGGCGTTTGGTTGAAGGTTATATGAGATTACTAAGGTAATGTCATCTTATATTACTTGATTACCACGTTTGGTTGTCAAGTAATATAAGATTCCGATAATCTTCCAATACCAATAATAGTTACTGTTGATAATATTGAGAGCCCGTTTGGATGGGGGTAATATTAGATAACTGGAGTAATATTTTTTAAATTGAGCAGATGACGATGTTTGGTTGGTTTGTAAAAAATTATTCTCAGAATTGTTTATGACAAACGGTGGCATTTTGGGGTAAGTTGCCGGGAATATTATTACCTGGGGGGGAAGGGGGGTTATTAAAACTTACCCCAAGGTAATCCAATTTTGTGTCCCATATTGCCCTTAAACAGTTGAGCATTTGGTCCAAATTAGCCTTATATTTGTTAAGATTTACAAAACACCCAATTCACTCATGCAAATCCTTTTGTCCTCACTTTTTAAATTTTTCGAACGACATTGCCCTTGTTATTGTCATTATTTATAGAAATGTCATTGTACCCAGAACAAGCCACCATCGCCAATCACCGTCGACAGCCGTCAGAGGCTGCCAAAAGTCGCCATAATGGCTTACGACTGACCGTGCGCTAGTGAGGCCTTTTCACGACCAAAGACCTGACCATTTCACGGCCAAATTTGTGGTCGTTTTACAGCCACATCTTTGATAGTGAAATGGCTAGATCTATGGCACTATCGGCGTCACAGCCAGATTTGTGGCACTGTTGGCGGTCACCGACGGTGGTGGCTGGTTGCCGATAGTGGCTTGGGGTGGGTAGGGGTGTTTTTGTTAAGTTTAAAACATTTTTGGTTACTATGGTGTTTTTGCTAAATCTGAAAAGTAGGGAGTTAAAAGAAATTATTCAAAAAATAATAATAGAAAAATACTATTATATTAATATTTTAAAAAAAATAAAAAAATAAAAAAATAAAGGCAACTTAATAATCTATATAACATACTCACCCATTTATCCTCCCAACCAAACATATTATTCACCAAATTATTCAAACCAACCAAACACATTTTCTAAACATTTTTAGTAATCTTCAAGGTGATATTTTATTATGTTAATATAATATCCCCATATAATAAAACATTATATGATCCAAACGTCCCTTGAAGATAATCTGATTACCTCCATTTTTTTAGGTATTATAAGATTATTTGATTATCTTATTTTTGTTCCAATTTTATCCCTTATTAATAAAAATTTTAGACAATAATGTCCTTGTTTTAAAATCAATTTTCATTAATCCACCACTATAATTTTATCCTTGTTTAATTAAGTTTTTGGACAATAATGCTCTTATATTTAAAACAAATTGCAGACCACCACTGCCACCCAGCCACCACCATCAACAGCTGGCCAACCACTGTCAGCCGCCATTGGAAGTTGTCGAGAATTGCCGGGAGGCTCCGATATTCCCATTTTTTGCCATATTGATGGCTAGAAACGGCCATATCGGAGTAGATCTAGTTGGAAATGTCTAAAAATAGATTTGGCCATTTCCGGCAAGATCTACTCGGATATTGTCATCAATATGGCCGTAAACGGCCATATCAGCAACTTAAGGTGACTTCCGACGGCCAAAGGCAATGGCTGGCGGCGAACAATGGCTTAAGGTGGGTGGGGGTGATTTTGTTATAAATTAAAATTTTATATAAGTTGTGGTGTTTTAACTAAATCTGAAATGTTGGCGGTTAAAAGAAATTATTCAAAAATTAGTAATAAAAATAATATTATATTAATATTTAAAAAGCAATTTGGTAGTTTAAATAACATACACATCAATTTATTCCTCTCAACTAAATATATTAATATAACATACCCATGAATTTATTCCAATTAACCAAACATATTTTCCTAAAGATTCCCAGTAATATTCAAGGTAATCTAATTTTTCATTAATATAATATTACTAATAAGCTAATATTTCTTGAATCAAACATACCCTAAAAGTGAAAATCTAAAATAAATGCAAACAAGATATCAACTTGCGATTTCACTCAACCTCGGGTGGGAATATGTGGTTTGCTCATCTTTAAATTCTTATTCTCTCAAATATTTTCTTCTGCACTAAAAAAAAAAAAAAAAATTATGATGACGTTTCTATTTGACGTCCATCTTTTGGAAATTCTCACGCGGTTTTGTATAGTACACTCACAATCACTCAGCAGTTCCGCTTATTTGTATATATAAGGAGTGTTGGCATGCCCGAGTAGAGTTGAGCTTCTGCTTGAGAAAATTCTTCCTATCAATTGCAGAAATAGCTAGCTCTTGCTCACTTTCTCTCACACTCTTTGTTAGTTAACACTACTGCTGCTTCATTATTTTGTGCTGAATCAGAAATGGGTTCTCTTGTGGGATTGATGTACCACTTATTTCGTGTAAAAATCATCACTCTTCTCACAGAGAAGAGGGTTCACCCTGATCTCTTTGTTCCCGAGATTAACGAGGTTGATATCTACCAGTTTGATCCTTATGACTTGCTAGGTAAGTGAGTTTTATTCTTTCAACTTTTAACTTTTGTTGATGCGTGATTTTGACACCAACTAAATGCACGTGGGAAATGCTGAGCTGACTCAGAAGACAAAATGTGTATGGGAATATTGAACTGAATAAAAGATGGAGAACAATATTTAAAGTGGTTCAGATGCTTAAGAAAGCGAATCCTACGTCCACTGGTATTGTATTAATTTATGAGATCAGGTCGCGTTCAGCGAGCTGACTTACAAGAGATTACAAGAGAGAAAGAGAGAGAGTAAATATGCTATTCCAAGGAGAATTTAGCTAATCCCACAAACATGAGAGGAATCCTCTATTTATAGTGGGATGAGTTAAGGTAATGATTACTAAATCTGTGAGTGGGTCAGATTGCCATGCAAATCGTTCCTTGCGTCCTGTTGTTCACTTGCTCGAGTGATTTACTCGACGTGTGCAGGGATTGCACACGTGAATCGTCTCCAACCTTTCACCAGTCTGGCGCACACCCACTGCACTAACAGGAGCATGCCACTTGCATCAGCGTGCGACGTGGCTGCGTCTGAATGGCTGCGGGACTTACCTAAGCTCTGACCGCTTAAGCTGGCAGGGCTCTATATCAGCCTTACATTTTCAGGCATAACAGAAGTCCCCTAGTTTTTAAGGTTCGAGGATCGAACCTCGAAAACTACATATTATGCCTAATTTGATGTGTTTGAAGAGATACTGGTCAATCTGACCTAGTTGCAAAGAGGTCGAGGAAACATTTCCATGCAAGTAACCTGAAATGACTTACTCTAAGGGTTAGCGACCTGTCCGTATACCATATTCAGTGCCATGACAATGCCTCTGGTCTTTATCCGAGGTTCACAACCTTATTGCACTTAGCGAAATTTTTTATGAAGGCAAGGAATCATCGCTTCGCAGCTAATATACGTCGAGGTTTGAAGGGTCACGTCCCCTGTGACTAACATGAGACAAGATCGAAGAGTCACGTCGCTTCGCGACTGACATAAGACGAAGAGTGTTCTATAAAACGACCTCTTCAGATGTTATTCGTTGCACTTTCATAGCTGATACATTTAATGAAATACCTTTTGCTCTGACAGATGTGTCCTGTGCACAATTTTTGTACCCTATATATGTTACAGATGAGATCGCATTATAATAGTTTACAATAAAATTGATACAAGTCTTATGCGAACAGAATTATACACATGAAAAAATGGTTACAAAGGAACTTGTCTTATTTATAAGGGTTAGGAAAAGTAAAATCTTTACAAGGAAAAATTGAGTTCAGAATTACTGATAATATGGTCGGAGATGTTCAGCATTCCAAGCTCACGGTACTTTGGAACCATTCAGCGTTTTGAGATGATAAGTCCCCGATCTTATCACTTTGGCGATGCGGTATGGGCCCTCCCAGTTCGGTCCCAAAACTCCCGTACTCGGTTCTCTAATACCGAGAATGACTTCCTTCAAAACGAGGTTCCCGACCTGGAAGTCTCTTATTCTGACCTTAGAGTTGAAGAACCTTTTCGTGAGTTGTTAATAGACTACTATTCTTAGCTAAGCTTTGCTGCGATGTTCTTTAACTGAATCAAGACTTACGCGCATAAGCGCTTCATTGTCTGTCTCGTTGTACAAGTCTCTCCGAAGTGAACTGGTCCCTACCTCCACGGGGATCATCGCTTTGCAGCCATATGTTAGCGAAAAAAGGGTTTCTGAGGTGGAGGTTCTCGGAGTTGTCCTGTATGCCCATAGAACTTCAGGAAGGTCGTCGGCCCAATTTCCCTTGGCTGCACCAAGTTTGGCCTTTAGAGTATGCTTGATGGTTTTGTTGACAGCTTCTACTTGACCATTTGCTTGCGGTCTTGCGACTGAGGCAAATTTCTTATGGATACCTAGCTCGTTGCAAAACTGCTTGAACTCCTCGTTATCAAACTGTTTCCCGTTATCAGAGATAAAGGTATGAGGAATCCCATAGCGGCATACAATGTTTTTGAAGACAAAGTCCTTGAGCTTTTTGATGGTGATCGCGGCCAATGGCTCTACTTCGACCTACTTGGTGAAGTAATCTACTGTGACCACCGCATACTTGACTCCCCCTTTACCAACTGACATGGGTCCGATTAGATCGATTCCCCACATGGAGAATGGCCAGGGGTTAGACATGGTTATCAGCTAGTGGGAAGAAGCTCGCGGTATGTTCACGAATCACAGTCACTTGTCACTTGTCACACGTTTTTACAAAGTTGTAGGTGTCTTCTTGAATCAGGGGCCAGTAATACCCTTGACGAACAACCTTGTTGGCGAGGGATCGTGCAGCCGTGTGATTACCTCATATTCCTTCATGTATCTCCCTCATGATATAGTCTACTTCTTCATCGGTTACACATTGGAGAAGAGAGACGCTAAACCCTTGTATTATACAACTGATCTCCTATGAGTGTGTAACGAGCAACTCTTGTTCGCAGGGTTCTTGCCTCGACCTTGTCGTTGGGCAGGATCCCATCTCGGAAATACTGAATGATAGGGGTCATCCAGGAGACTGACTCAATTACATTCATGGCCTGTTTGGGCGAACTGATACTGGGGGCCTCTATGAATCAAATAGGAATGCTCTCTGTCACATCCGATTCCAATGATAAGGTTATCTTTGCCAAGGCATCCGCGACAGAATTGTTGTCCCTAGGGATCTACATGATCGTGAAATGCTTAAACGGCTCGAGTGCGGCCTTAGCTTTCTTAAATAGCCGATCATGTTTTCTTCCTTGGCCTAATATTCTCCTAAAATTTGGTTGACAACCAACATGGAGTCGCTGTGGATGCTGATCGCGGTTGATCTCATTTCTCTTGCCAACCGCAATCCAACGAGTAGAGTTTTATACTCGACCTCATTGTTAATCGCTTTGAACCCGAAACAGAAAATGCCATGAATGCGAGTCCCTTTCGGACTTAGGAGGAGAAGGCCTGCCTAGCCTTTTTCCTGTTCGATGACCGTCGACATAGAGGCTCCAGGTTGATAGGTTCTGAACAGTTTCCTGGGTGGCTTCGCTGGCCTGTTGCTCAGATTCCTTCATCAGATGATATGAGAATTCTGACATGAAATCGGCAACAGCCTGCCTTTTGATGGTTGCTTTCAGTCTATACTACAGATCGAACTGACTTAGTTTCATAACCCACTTGAGCAATTTACCCGATGCCTCCGATTTCTGGAGGACTTGCTTAAGCTGGTAACTAGTCATTACATGGATTGTGTGGGCGTGGAAGTAAGGTCGCAACTTTCTGGAAGCGATCAGCAGGGCATAAGCTAATCACTCCATTTCTAGATACCGCATCTCAGCATCTAGCAGATGCTTGCTCACTTAATAAACTGGCCATTGAACCTTGTTCTCTTCCTGAACTAAAGCTGCACTGACCACGTACTGAGAGACGGACAGATACAGGAGAAGAATTTCCTACGGGAGAGGCTTAGATAGAAGAGGTGGTTTTTTGAGGTACTCTTTAATGCTCTAAAATGTTTGTTCGTACTCGGGAGTCCACTCAAACTTCTTATTGGCCCTGAGTATGTTGAAGAATGGCAAGCAGCTATCTGTTGCCCTCGATATGAAGCGACTGAATGCCACTATTCGCCCATTGAGACTTTGAACCTGTTTTCGATTGGTCATGCTTTTCATGCCGAGGAGAGCTTGGATTTTCTCGGGGTTGATCTCTATTCCCCTCTGGTCAACCATGTACCCTAGAAATTTTCCTGAGGATACTCAAAATGAGCATTTGAGGGGGTTGAGCTTCATTTTGTACTCCCAAAGGATGTCAAACATCTCAGCGAGATGCGCTATGTGATCTGAAGCGACATGCGACTTGACTAGCATGTCATCAACATAGACTTCCATTGACTTCCCGATCTACTTAGAAAATATTCGGTTAACCAGCTGCTGGTAAGTTGCTCTAGCATTTTTCAGGCCGAAGGGCATAACCCTATAGCAATACGGTCCCCGATCTATAACAAATGAGGTATGCTCTTCGTCCAGTGCATACATCAGAATTTGATTGTATCCCAAGTATGCGTTCAAAAAACTCAGCAGCTCATGCCTGGAAGTGGCATTAACGAGCTGGTTGATCCTTGGTAGGGGAAAGTTGTCTCTTGGGCAGGCTTTGTTGAAGTCGGTGAAGTCAACGTAGGTCCTCCATTTGCCATTGGGCTTTTTTACTAGAACAAGGTTGGCAACCCAGCTCGGGTAGAGCGTTTCCCGGATAGATCCATTACGAAGGAGATTATCTACCTCATCTTTTAAGGCAGCATATCGTTCCGGATCCATCACTCTTCTTTTCTGGCAGACCGGCCTGGCTTCACTATCGATGTTCAAGGCATGGTAGATGATGTTTGGGCTGATCCCGACCATATTGGCATGCGTCCATGCGAACACATCAATATTTTCTCTGAGGAAGCTGGTCAGGTCAGTAACGAGCTGGGGGTTGAGATTGCTTCCAATACTCAACACTCGGCTCGACTCGGCTTGGTCTGGTCAACTGACACTTTAGATAAATCCTCAACTGGCCCACTGGAAGGGCATTTCTGGATACGAGGATCCATATTATCTTCGGCTGGGCCAAGCTGTGGTTCGATTCGACTGATAGTCATTGCCTATTCGGGAATGTCACACAGGATGCTTTTCCCCTTGCACGTCATCTGCAATGCCCTTATATAGCAGTTGCGAGATGCGCACTGAGATCCGCTTACTTCCTTATCCCTATTGAGGTAGGGAACTTCATCTTGAGATGGTAGATCGAAGTGACTGCCTTGAAGTTTCTTAGTAGATGTCGCCCTAGGATGCCATTGAAAGTGGAAAGGCAGTCCACTATCAAGAATTCAGTGATCTTGGTCACCTCGTCAAAGTCACCCAACATGACTGGAAGCGAGATCGTTCCCTTGGGGATCAGGTGATCCCCTGTAAAACCATATATGGGGATAAAGGCGGGCTTCAGGTCGGCCTCATCCAATTTTATTCTTTCAAAAGCTCGTGGGAATAGGATGTTCACAACGCTTCCGTTATCCACCAATATTCTGTGGACATCGCATCGCCCTATTTGGGGCATGATGACGAGAGCATCATCATGGGAATGATGAAATCAGATTGCGTCTTTTTCGGAGAAGGTTATTTCCTTCTCTCTGCGAACCTTTGATGGTCGTTGCATCGTGTTCATCACATGGATAAGGTCGTGATGGGCTGCGCAAGTATATCTTTCTTGGGCACCTAGCGAATTCCCTCCGAGGTGTGGTCCCCCAAAGATTATCCCCGCGCTGCAGATACCTTTGCGATCACGACGCTTCTTACCTGGTTCCTCTCGATTTTTCTCCCTTACGGGAGCAAAGTCATCAACATACTCTTTGAAATACCCCTGTTTGATAAGGTCTTCGATTGCCTGCTTGAGAGCTCGACACTCATCAGTGTGATGCCCATTGTCCCGATGATAACGACAGTACTTTTTACTGTTTCTGGCTGAAGGGGGATTTTTCATAGGCTCAGGTTCTCCAAGCAGACCGGCCTCTTCTGACTTGTAAAGAATGGCCAAGACAAATGCATTCAAAGGAGTATATTGACTCATGTCGCGATCGCGACGAGGAACTAGAGCATAAGACTTCTTGTGCTCAAACCATGGTTTCTTTCCTTTCCGCTGATCGTCATTAGCCCATTTGCTATCAGATCTCCTATTTGCCCCCCGACCAGGTGCACTGCCTGAAGTGTCGGGGTCGTGGCGGTAGAGATTCTCAATACGAAGGTATTTCTCCGTAAGGCTGTAGAAGCGGGTGAGGGAAACATCATCCTCTGATTGCAATGCTTTCAACAGATCTGTTTGTGGACGAACTCTCGCTATGATGAGAGTTCGAACAGACTCTTTGGGAGTGTGAGCTACTTTATGGAGCTCCTTGTGGAATCTGTCGATGTAAGATTAGAGGGATTCATCCCTCTCTCGCCTTATGTTGCTGAGGTAGCTCAAAGGCATTGAGAACTTTCTGTTCGCTTGGAAGTGTCTCAGGAATGTCGAGCTCATCTGATTCCATGAGCCGATTGATCTCGCCGGGAGCGACCTGAACCATCGCTTGGCATGTGAAGTTAGAGTTACTGCCAAGCAACGGCATTTTGCCAAGTCAGAAACTTGGTGAAGTTCCATCAGGTCGTTGAATTCGTATAGATGATCCTGCAGATTGGTATTTCCATCAAATGCTAGCATATCAGGCATTCTGAATCTGGATTGGAGAGGGGCAACTAACACAACCAGAGAAAAAGGAGACGCAGTTTCGGCTGCTCTTGACACACACTAGCTAGAGTCGTGCGATGGCGCTGAATGGTTCGGGGAACCTTCCCGACCTCCGCGATGATGAGAACCAACCCGCGAACGGTGGGAACTTCCCTCGCGACGACGATCGAAGTCATCATTTTGGCGAAAATGGGAATCTCCTCGTCTTGCACTTTTATGGAAGTACTCGCGCGACGTGGCACGAGACAACTCGGGCCGCGACGTGTCACCGAGTCTGCACGCCACAGGTATTCTACCCAGGGTGCGGTCGGTGTTCGCTGGTCCCTCAGAGCCTCTAGGCCTGCTGTTAGCCACCTGCTTTCCCTTTCTTTGACGCACTGCAATGCACGCGACACAGGCTATCGCCCTTTTCCGCGCTTTCATGCGACTTGCAGGCGTTTTTGGCGGTGCACCGCCTCATTTGATTCGGGTGGCACGACCCAATCCAAGCGGCCATTTGATTCGGGTGGCACGACCTAATTCACAACTCATAGAGAAGAGGGTTCACCCTGATCTCTTTGTTCCAGAGATTAACGAAGTTGATATCTACCAGTTTGATCCTTATGACTTGCCAGGTAAGTGAGTTTTATTCTTTCAACTTTTAACTTTAATTCTCTCTTTAATTTCTTTGATTCTGACTGGAATTGAATTGTCATGCAGCGCTTTCAGAAACCAAGTCCGATGACCAGGTGTGGTACTTTTTCTGTGAACCGCATTACAAGTATGCCAACAGTAAACGTGCCCACCGAGCAACCGGAGGAGGGAGCTGGAAAATAACCGGTCGAGGCTGTGATGTGAAGGATAAAGGAAGGGTGATCGGTAAGAAAAGGACATTGGTTTTCTGCAGACGTGGTAGTACTTCTAAGGAGATCAAGACTGATTGGGTTATGCATGAGTTCTATATCGAGGACAGCCCTTATTATGAGGTGTATTACTTTGTTCGATTCTTATTGCTTGTTCCCTCTTCTTTGTGTTGAATTTGGAAACATTTGGCTTGATGGGTTGTCCTCTTTTCTGATTTGGTGTTGAATTTATCTATAGTAAATCTTCTGTTAACTTTTGTTTAAATATGCTCTGTGATATTAGTGACAAGCTGCATAAATTTAGCTTCTGGGTTGTGTTTGACTTACTGGTAGAAGATTGAAGTGATTGGTAAATATGCTAGAAGCTTGATTTCGTTTGATTAGGCACTTCAATTAGATTTAATTATAATCTACAAATTTAATTTTGTAATCTGTTTTATGAGATCGTATAGGAACTCGTATGTATCTCAGTTATGTACTTGAATTTTTATTATTAGTGATATCCATGGAAATTATGTAAGAAATTGAGACCTTTCTTCTAAGTTCAAAATCGCCTTGCAGAACCATTACTAATGTGACAAGGAGAATATATTTTCCTTATGAATTATTTTATGAAAGAGTCTGTTGTTTTTGTTTCTCTTTAAAGTCTGGTAGGTAGTATAGAGGCAGTTCTGATCAAAATTTGCTATGTCTGGGAAATAATTGGTACTACAGGATTCTAGGCAGCTACACATTACGTTTTATTTATTTTCATTTTACCTTTATTTAATTTTTTGTTTTTGTAGAAGAATTTTGTTGTCTGTTACATAGAAAAAACAAAAAAAAACAAGTCTAGTGTTTCAACACCCGATGATGGTCAACCGAGTCACAGTCTGTCTTCACATTATGAAAGTCGTGTTACAGAAAATTCTTCTTCGGAGGTGAGATAGAACATGTCTTGTGGTCATGTTTCAATATCAAGTCGGAAACATATCCAGAATTAATACTTCTTTATTTATGGTTATTGGTTCAGCTTGAATCTCAGCAAACAATGAGTCAGCATTTGATTTCTGATTCTAGAAAGCATATTACAGAAATTTCATTTTTAGAGGAGAGAAAAAGCATGCCTTATGGGTAGTCTTCGGTATCAGCTATAGTCTTTGATAAACATATTCACACAACTAATACTTTGTTTTTCTATGATATTTTTCTTCAGGTAGAATCTCCACCACTATCAAGTGACGAATTGGAGAGTATTTACTCAATGGTGAGGAAAAATATCTTACATAGTATTTAATCAGTACCACGGATCCAATTCCTCATGCTCAAATGGCATTAGTAATGACTGTAATCTGGGGAGCTATGAATTCACTGGTGGGCTTGAAGATGTCGTGAATTCGCAAAGGAATGTCCAGAATCAATATCCTTGCGAAGTAGATGTACTGACGCAGTCAGACATTGAAGCAATGGTTAAAGAGCTATCTTGAGGACTTTCCGCCAATAGCATTGGAAAATTAAATAGCGAAGGGGGATTATATTATTATGGTTATGAACACTGTAGACTGCTTTGCTGTGTTCTAATTATTATGAGCTTTGTAATTGTCGACAATAATGGTCACATCCTTTTGGATCTTGTTTCAAACACTTTGAAAAAATTCAGCTTGTCAATTATATTTATATCTAAGTATGGCTTAGTTCTGGAAACTTCAAGTATTGTTTAATGGGAATGCTGTTCATATGTCCAGGTATTAAAATTCCATTGAGGAATTTGTTAAGAACAAAATCCTATTTCCTTCTCTCTCTCCTTTTTTGTTTTTAGTTAATGATTAATCACAAACTTGAATTTTTCCCTTGTAAATCTAAGATAAGGATCCAATGTCTGGAAATAATTTTGCAGTTCAAATATAACCATTAAGAAGGCAGTAATAGCAAGGGAAAAGGTTTGTTTGGTTTTCCTGGGGAGTGTGGACACCCCATTAAAACATAAACAAAATCCACCATCACTGTAATTTGGCAATGTTTATTTCCAGTGTATTTTCTTCATATTCCTTAATTATTAGCAAAAGGTAGTGGTTCTTCATTGAATGATATTGCTCATATCAGGTATATGGCTGACATAAATTTAATTAGCTTTTGTCAAGAACAGGACGTTATAGTTTTGAGTTTTAACTTTCTAGCCTTTGTTCCAAGGGAAAATAATACGTTTACTGAGAGTAGTGCATCGAATTCATGCATCGAATGACGTGACACAACTCTGACCGTCAATTAATTATGAATTAATATTAATCGACAGTCAAGATTAGGTTACATCATTCGATGTATGAATTCGGTGTGCTTCTTTCGGTAACTGTAGCATTACTCTTGTTCCAAAAACCCATCTATATACATAAATAAACCTCACTGCATGCAGCACGGTGGTTTGATTTGGAGTGGAAGAAACTCATTACAATTTTCCATGATGGAGGTTTCCTTCAGTCTTTAGATTGATTTAATAACAATAAGCAACTCCTCCTCATTTCTGTGGTAGAAAATCAAAATCCCAATACTTGTAGTAGACAACATGATAATCCCAAAGTTTGAGCTTTTAATTAGGATTTAGAATGAAACTGTTAGGATCTCATCTTAGAAGGGAAAATGGTAGGCATGTCGGTTATAAAAGTTTGGACACTCTCCTTTAACAAGCTAGTTTTTCAAAAAGAGTTATATCCAAGCCCATGAAAGCCTCATTGTCCAACCCAATTGTTTGAATTGTTGGAGTGCAACACCCAAGAGGGTTGTGGAAGCGTGGTGGAATGTTTTGGAAGAGAAAAAAGGCTTAAACACCCTCCCTTGCACGGTTTTTTAAGTAGAGTTTTATCTAATCCCATAAAAGATCTATTGCTCAGCCCAATTATTTGAATTGTTGGAGTAGGTTTCTATCGTAAACATATAAATTATTAAAAATAACCAGGATGTAGAAGACATAAATGTTGTAAGTAGGGGTGTTCAAAAAAATGCAAAAACCGAACCGAACCGCTAACCGAACCAAAAAACCGGTTAACCGAAAAAACGGTTCGGTTACGGTTCAAAAAATTCAAAAAACCGAATATTCGGTTCGGGAGAAATTAGAAACGGTTAACAGAAAACCGGTTTTCTAAACCGGTTTTTCAAATATATATATATATTAAATAAATAAATAATAACCTAAACTAAAATAAATCCCTAATTCACTCAATCTAAAATCCCAACCCAAATTTTTTTTCTTAGTTCCTAATGTATTGTCTATATTTACAATTTAATTTAGGACAAAATTAAAAAAAAAAAAAACTTTTATAAAAAAAAAAGGGAAAACCGGTTAACCGCTTTTTTTAAAACGGTTAACCGGTTTTTTGGTTAATCAAAAAACCGGTTTTCTCTAAAATCGGTTCGGTTTCGGTTTAAAAATTTTCTCAAATTAAAAATTTAATTCGATTTAAAAAAACGGTTAATCGATTCGGTTAACCACTTTTGAACACTTTTTATTGTAAGTGCTAGTCCTCTTGCCAAGGAAGTAGACAGACGAAAGTGGATGATCGATAGTGGGGTCTCAGACTTTTTGAGTAGAACCAACAATTAAATCCAACCCAAGGGTTTATTCACACGAAATTACCTAACATATATGCTCTGTAAAGCAGCCATTGGAAAAGCATCTAGTCGGGCTTCCACCAATAAAAAAAGGAGAGAGAATATCCAGTCAATCTTTTTTGCCAGATGCTTTGATGCTTTCATATGTGTAATGTATATAAACAAGCCATCCCCCTCTCACTTTGGATACCAAATTCTTTCCATCAAACCCACAAACCTAATTCATACGCTGTTTCTACGGTGTTCTATTCCTTTTCTACTGAATCTCAGAAATGGAAATGGGTCTATTGTTTATTGATCCAGAAATGAGCAATCTCGAGGGATTTTTATTCCCTCCTACTGATGATGAAATCATCATTTTTCTGGAGTAGAAGAAATTTGACCGTGATTTCTCTGTTCAATTCATATCCAATATTTATATTTAAGGGTGTGAAGCGCCGAATTTATCCGGTAAGTACTGTATAGTGTCAACCATTGAATTTCTTTTTAAATTCTTTATTTATTATGTCATTAGAAAGGCTGGTAATCTTTTGAAATAAAGATTATTTCTGTTATGATTTGATACAGGGCGTTTCGCAATTCACTCGTTTTACCTCGTTTGGTTCGAACCTTAGGTAGAACCTCAACTACTACAGGTAGAACCTCAACTACTACGAGGACTAATATCGTATGAGTTGTTTTGGGACTAGTCTGAAGGTGAGAAAGAGTTCGTAACTTTCAGTATAAGCCATGATGATGATGATGATGATAACAAATATGTCTAAAGGTTAATACTTTTTCATGATTCTTCAGGTTAAACGTTGGCAACTACCAGTCGCTATATGACTTCTAATGTCGCAAATCATGTGCAGAAAATATATTTTCTGGGAGTGTGATAGAGGTAAGAATGAGCATACTCTATTGGATTCTTTATTGACAGTATTTCAATCTAAATTAATATTTGTGGTGCATGAGAAACTTTTTTGAATCTAATGTTATATCAACCTATGTATATTGTAAATGAGCAGCATACACTGTCAGAAAGATATGCCTTAAAAATAATTTTATGTATTAACAGATACAAGTTCTGCAATAGGCACATATTCTTGAACTAATGCTTGATTGTTTATGATTCTTAATTTATTTTTAAACTAATGCTTGCTTGTTTATAATTCTTAATGTAGGTAGAACCTCAAGTACTACCATGTAACTTTGGCTTTTGATTTAGGAAATCAAATTGCGAGAAACAACTTTTCTCAGGTGAGATAGAATGTCCTAGCTCTTATGGGTGGTATCTGCTTTCAAGTTATACACAGTTTGCATAAAAACACATGGAATTCATATATCAAGTAGAATTCCATTTACTACCATTCATCATTTAGCGTTTGATTATGGAATTGGTATTTTCGAAAAGTATGTTTTTAGAGGTGACTTGTACTTGCATAAGGACATATCTAAAAGAATTAAAGCTTTGTTCTTTGTGGTTGTTAATACAGGTAGAACTGCAGTATCTACCTAGTCACCATTTGGCTTTTGATTTTGTAAACCGTTTTACATAGAATATTTTTTTTCAGAGATGAGAGAGGGCATTGCTTATGGATTATTATTTATGTGAACTCTGCCTGAGAAACATACCAAAACTAATACTTGTTTGTCAATGATTCTTACCTCTAAAACCTCATCTACTATCAAGCTACCTTATGCATTAGTATTCCGAGACTCGTGGAAAAATATTGCTTAAGAGATATAGGTGGTTTCCAAATATACACTTACTTTTGCAGTGCTCAATAAACTTATCTATAATTAACGCTTCTTCGTCTATGGTTCATGCCTCAGGTAGAAGCACTACTACTTGCAGAATTTGATGCCCGCGATGGCTGTAAATGGCTAGACCACAATCCATCCTCTGCAGTGCACTTGCCAGTGGATCTCGAACAGAGAGTTCTTTGTTCGCAACAGTTTGTCCAGGAGAATGCTTGTGTGAGGGAACTGAACACTGAAACCATCAAAGAATGGGTAAATGAATATCCTCCTTTACCTATTGGAGAACTTTACTTCAATAGAGAATTAATCAAAATTAAGTTCTGTAGCGGAATATTATCTTTATTGACCGTAATTGTAATATTGCTTATTTATGTTATAATGTATACTACAGGCGCTCTGATTTTTTGCAGCAAAAGGTTACATTTTCTTGGACATGTGTGAAACTCTTGAAACTCAACTTGTTCTTCATATCTATGTCACGGTATAACCGAGTTCTGCGAAATTGGAGCTTGATTGATGGGACTGCTTGCTCAAAAGAGTACCAGGGCATGCAAATGGTTCATAACCTTATAGAACTCTGTTGAAAAGTGTGCTGAGTTCATCTTGAGATCTACCTTATGCAACTCCATCCGAGATCGGTGTGAGTTTGTCATGAATCATGAGATCTTTGGATTAGAATTTCTGCAAGTCAACTTCTGACAAAAAAATTCCTATATATGAACAGAAGAACCTGGAAACCTCAGAATAGACAAAAATCCCACAATTTAGTATCACAGGAATGTGCTCAAACACTCCTTTTTTTTTTGGATAACTTCTGTAACTCCGAACCTGCTACCGCAAAAGTATCTTCCGTTTATGCCAAGGAGAAAGTTTTGGACACTATAATAAGGCCAGGGTAGAAACTTAAAAATAAATGAAGAAAGAACATTTTCCAACAATGTTTCTTTCAAATAGTGTCCAACAGAAATGAGTACTGGTGTGATGCAATCAACATTGCAATTGACCAAATGGTTGCTAACCTTCATGCTAACTTGTTTGAGTGCTGTTCTTATTAGAGCTTAATTTGAACGGTTTGATCAGTTGAGATTTGTTAGCTTAATTTGTTAGTAAATTAAAGTATGACACGGAGAAGACACCCAGAAAAACTTGTGAGGGAGACACATCACCACTCACTGTTGTTAATGATGTAAGAAACTAAGTTATTCATTATTGTTGTAAAGCCAAGGATTGTTTTGAATAGTAGGATGACTCACAGTAATCTTGAAATCATATTGTTGATGCTCGATCTTGCACCAACGAATTTTTACGTATATAATATCAAGTGACTGTTTGATGTACGTGAAAATAGAATGAAAGAAAAATAAAATAGCTGTAGAGGGAATTTTTAAGTGGTTCGGATGCTAAGATAGCAAGTCCTACGTCCACTGATTTGTATTGATATTAGTGGGTGTCAGGTCGCGGTCGCGAGCTGACTTACAACAGACGAAAAAGTCAAAGCAAAGTTTTACAAGAGAGAAATTTCTGTTTNCCTTTTTAGTCATTTTATAATAAAATGTACTTATAAGCCACATTTTACCAAACACGTCAACTACTTATCAATCACTTATAAGTACTTTAACCAAACACGTAATTGCTTAAAATTTTAAATGCTTATAAGCTAAAATTAACTTATAAGCACTTGTTGCTTATAAGCTAATTTTCATAAGCTTAGACAAACACCCCCCAAATCTTACCTAATGTAATCCAATTTTGTGTCTCATATTGCCCTTAAACAGTTGAACATTTGGTTCAAATTAGCTTTATATTTATTAAGATTTACAAAATACTCAATTCACTCATGCAGATCCTTTGTCCGTACTTTTTAAATTTTTGGAATGACATTGCCCTTGCTATTGTCATTATTTACAGAAATGTCATTGTACCTAGAACAAGCCACCATCGCCAGTCACCGTCGACAGCCGTCGAAGGCTACCAAAAGTCTCCATAATGGCTTACGATCGACCGTGCGCTAGTGAAGCCTTTTCTGACCACGGAAACAGCCAAATCTGGTTGTGAAATGGCCGGCGTTTCACGACCAAAGACCTGGCCATTTCACGGCCAAACTTGTGGTCGTTTACAGCCACATCTTTGGTAGTGAAACGACCAAATCTATGGCACTGTCGGCATCATGGCTAGAGTTGTGGCACTGTTGGCGGTCGCCGACGGTGGTGGCTGGCTGCCGGTAGTGGCTTGGGGTGGATAGGGGCGTTTTTGTTAAGTTTAAAACGTTTTTGGTTGCTAGGATGTTTTTGTTAAATCTGAAAAGTAGAGAGTTAAAAGAAATTATTCAAAAAATAATAATAGAAAAATACTATTATATTAATATTAAAAAAAAAAAGAAAAAAAAAAAGGCAATTTAGTACTCCATATAACATACCCACTCATTTATCCCCCCAACCAAACATATTATTCACCAATTTATTCGAACCAACCAAACACATTTTCTAAACATTCACAGTAATCTTCAAGGTGATCTTTTATTCTGTTAATATAATATCCCCCTATAATAAAACATTATATGATCCAAACGCCTCTTGAAGGTAATTTGATTACCTTTATTTTTTTAGGTATTATAAGATTATTTGGTTATCTTATTTTTGTTCCAATTTTATCCCTTATTAATACAAATTTTGGACAATAATGCCCTTGTTTTAAAATCAATTTTCATTAATCCACCATTATAATTGTATCCTTGTTTAATTAAGTTTTTGGACAATAATGCCCTTATATTTAAAACAAATTGTAAACCACCACAGCCACCCAACCATTGCCGCCGACAGCTGGCCAACCACTGTCGACCGCCGTCGGAAGTTGTCGAGAATCGCCGGGAGGTTCCAATATGGCCGTTTTTAGCCATATTGATGGCTAGAAACGGCCATATCGAAGTAGATATGGTCGAAAATGGCTAAAATAGATCTGGCAATTTCCGGCAACATCTACTCAGATATTGTCATCAATATGCCCGTAAACGACCATATCAGCAACTTACGGTGACTTCCAGCGGCCAAAGGCAATGGCTGGCGGTGGTGGCTGGCGGCGGATAGTGGCTTGGGGTGGGTGGGGGTGATTTTGTTATAAATTAAAATTTTATATAAGTTGTGGTATTTTAGCTAAATCTGAAATGTTGGCGGTTAAAAGAAATTATTCAAAAATTAATAATAAAAATAATATTATATTAATATTTAAAAAGCAATTTAGTAATTTAAATAACATACACATTAATTTATTCTTCTCAACCAACATATTAATATAACATACCCATCAATTTATTCAAATTAACCAAATATATTTTCTTAAAAATTCTCGATAATCTTCAAGGTAATCTAATTTTTTATTAATATAATAATATTACTAATAAGCTAACATTTCTTGAATCAAACATACCCCAAAAGTGAAAATCTAAAATAAATGTAAACAAGATATCAACTTGCGATATCACTCAACCTTGGGTGGGAATATGTGGTTTGCTCATCTTTAAATTCTTATTCTCTCAAATATTTTCCTCCGCACTAAAAAAAAAAAAAAAAAAAGATGATGACGTTTCTATTTGACGTCCATCTTTTGGAAATTCTCACGCGGTTTTGCACAGTACACTCACAATCACTCAGCAGTTCCGCTTATTTGTATATATAAGGAGTGTTGGCATGCCCGAGTGGAGTTGAGCTTCTGCCAGAGAAAATTCTTCCCATCAATTGCAGAAATAGCTAGCTCTTGCTCACTTTCTCTCACACTCTTTGTTAGTTAACACTACTGCTGCTTCATCATTTTGTGCTGAATCAGAAATGGGTTCTCTTGTGGGATTGATGTACCACTTATTTCGTGTCAAAATCATCACTCTTCTCACAGAGAAGAGGGTTCACCCTGATCTCTTTGTTCCCGAGATTAACGAGGTTGATATCTACCAGTTTGATCCTTATGACTTGCCAGGTAAGTGAGTTTTATTCTTTCAACTTTTAACTTTAATTCTCTCTTTAATTTCTTCGATTCTGACTGGAATTGAATTGTCATGCAGCGCTTTCAGAAACCAAGTCCGATGACCAGGTGTGGTACTTTTTCTGTGAACCGCATTATAAGTATGCCAACAGTAAACGTGCCCACCGAGCAACCGGAGGAGGGAACTGGAAAATAACCGGTCGAGGCTGTGACGTGAAGGATAAAGGAAGGGTGATCGGTAAGAAAAGGACATTGGTTTTCTGCAGACGTGGTAGTACTTCTAAGGAGATCAAGACTGATTGGGTTATGCATGAGTTCTATATCGAGGACAGCCCTTATTATGAGGTGTATTACTTTGTTCGATTCTTATTGCTCGTTCCTTCTTCTTTGTGTTGAATTTGGAAACATTTGGCTTGATGGGTTGTCCTCTTTTCTGATTTGGTGTTGAATTTATCTATAGTAAATCTTCTATTAACTTTTGTTTAAATATGCTCTGTGATATTAGTGACAAGCTGCATAAATTTAGCTTCTGGGTTGTGTTTGACTTACTGGTAGAAGATTGAAGTGATTGGTAAATATGCTAGAAGCTTGATTTCGTTTGATTAGGCACTTCAATTAGATTTAATTATAATCTACAAATTTAATTTTGTAATCTGTTTTATGAGATCGTATAGGAACTCGTATGTATCTCAGTTATGTACTTGAATTTTTATTATTAGTGATATCCATGGAAATTATGTAAGAAATTGAGACCTTTCTTCTAAGTTCAAAATCGCCTTGCAGAACCATTACTAATGTGACAAGGAGAATATATTTTCCTTATGAATTATTTTATGAAAGAGTCTGTTGTTTTTGTTTCTCTTTAAAGTCTGGTAGGTAGTATAGAGGCAGTTCTGATCAAAATTTGCTATGTCTGGGAAATAATTGGTACTACAGGATTCTAGGCAGCTACACATTACGTTTTATTTATTTTCATTTTACCTTTATTTAATTTTTTGTTTTTGTAGAAGAATTTTGTTGTCTGTTACATAGAAAAAACAAAAAAAAACAAGTCTAGTGTTTCAACACCCGATGATGGTCAACCGAGTCACAGTCTGTCTTCACATTATGAAAGTCGTGTTACAGAAAATTCTTCTTCGGAGGTGAGATAGAACATGTCTTGTGGTCATGTTTCAATATCAAGTCGGAAACATATCCAGAATTAATACTTCTTTATTTATGGTTATTGGTTCAGGTTGAATCTCAGCAAACAATGAGTCAGCATTTGATTTCTGATTCTAGAAAGCATATTACAGAAAATTCATTTTTAGACGTGAGAAAAAGCATGCCTTATGGGTAGTCTTCGGTATCAGCTGTAGTCTTTGAAAAACATATTCACACAACTAATACTTTGTTTGTCTATGATACTTTTCTTCAGGTAGAATCTCCACCACTATCAAGTGACGAATTAGAGAGTATTTACTCAATGGTGAGGAAAAATATCTTACATAGTTTTCATATCAATTTATACATGTAGACATGGTGCATGAAAACCATATTTAAATAACTATTATTGCTTTTTTGTCTATGATTCTTCCTTCAGATAAATCCTCAACCACCAGACGAATTTGATGCAATCAGTGGCTATAATTGGCTGAATCACAGCTCGGTCTCTGCACTACAGTTGCCAATTAATCAGTACCACGGATCCAATTCCTCATACTCAAATGGCATTAGTAATGACTGTAACCTGGGGAGCTATGAATTCCCTGGTGGGCTTGAAGATGTCGTGAATTCGCAAAGGAATGTCCAGAATCAATATCCTTGGATGTTAGAAGATTGAGGTTGTTTGTATCTCTTACTGTCTTTCAAGTCAGTAGAGTAGTTGTATTAGTTGAAGTTTTTTGATTAAAATGTATGGTGATCCTTATTTTAAGAAACTTTTGCTTCTTTATGTATGTTGTGCTTTAATTAAGGAATGGTGCATCAGTTTTTTATATATTTTGTTAGTCATGTACATCGTATGAACATTAAGTGAATGAAAATCATCTTTATCTGTAGCTCTCGTCTGTTTTTCTCTCTGTTTTTTTTTTCTTTACTCTGTTTCGCTTGATTTGCTTCCTTATTGCATAATTTTGTCTTGCTTCATCAGTCTAATTTATTCTCAGCCTTGACAACATGGTATCAAAGCTTTTCTGATCTTAAGGGATGTGTTCATTCTAAAGTTATCAGAGTTTTAACATTCTGTTTTGATCACTTGTTCACCATAGCTTCTTCATCTTCATCTTCATCCATGTCACCACTAGTTTATAACGGTGAGCTTTATCATTTATGGGCTGTCAAAATGAAAGCCTACATGAGAGGATTAGGCCTATGGCAATATGTGGAGGAGGAGAAACAATCTCCTCTTTGGGGTCAAATCCAACATTAAATCAATTAAGATTGCATGAAGAAGAAGTTGTTAAAGCACCTAGAGCTTTATCAATCATTTATCAAGGTGTAACTGATACAGTATTCACTAAGATTGTTGCGTGTGAGACTGCTAAGGAAGCATGGGAAAAATTGAAAGAAGACTCCTTAGGGAATGAAAGATCAAGGCAGATGAATGTCCTTAATCTAAGGAGAGAGTTTGAAGTTCTTAAAATGAAGGAGGCTGAAACTATTAAGGAATATGCTAATAGAATTATGAAAGTTGTAAATCATATAAGGTTAATGGGTGAAACTCTTTCTGATCAGAGGATTGTGGAGAAAATTTTGGTGAGCATTCCCGAGAGGTATGAGGCTAAAATTTCCTCTCTTGAAGACTCTAAAAATTTCTCTGATCTTACCTTATCTGAAGTAATAAATGCCCTAAAGGCTTAAGACCAAAGGAGAGCTCTAAGGCATGAAGAATTTGCAGAAAGTGCTCTTAATGCTAAGCTGCAGGAGAAAAATTCTATCAACAACTCAATGAAGAAGCAGACTGTTGACAGAAAGGAGGAGAGAAAAGTAAAGGGCAAGTTGCAAGGTGAAAAGAAAGGCAAGTGTGCTCCTTGTCCTCATTGTAAAAAGAAGGGGCATTCTCCAAATTATTGCTGGTACAAACCTAACGTCAGATGCAGGTCATGTAACCAGCTTGGACACATTGATAAAGTGCGCAAAAATGTAAATGGAATCCAAGCTCAACAAGCTCAACAAACTCAGCAAATTCATTTAATTGAGAAGCAAGAAGATGCTGGAGAAAATCTTTTTGTTGCAACTTGTTATGCAACTCAGAATAAACAAACCTCTTGGTTAATAGATAGTGGATGTTCAAACCATATGACCTTTGATGCTAACATTCTCAAAGACTTGGATGAATCCTATTTGTCCAAAGTGAAAATTGGAAATGGTGAAATGCTAGATGTCAAAGGAAGAGGAGCGGCTGTAATTGATACTCCAGCAGGTACCAAATACATTCAAGATGTTCTTTATGTACCTAAAATTAATCATATTGCTAAGTGTGGGACAGATGCTAGAAAAAGGGTATTCTCTGCATTTTCAAAACAAATCATGCACCATTGTTGATCCTTGTGGTAGTGAACTTATGACTGTCAATATTATAGCCAAGAATTTTGCTATAGACTGGAATGTAGCTAGTACTAAGGCTTATCAGCATACTGAAATTGATTCGAATTTATGGCATAGAAGGCTTGGACACTTCAACTATGCAACTTTAAAAAATATGCATGATAAGGAGCTAGTGCTAAATTTACCAACTGTTGATGATCATCATGGTGTCTGTGAAGTATGTCAGTTCGGCAAACAATCCAAGTTACCTTTTTCAAGCAGCAAATGGAAAGCCACTAAGAAACTGCAGCTTGTTCACTCAGATTTATGTGGACCAATAAGTGTTGCTTCTCTAAATGGGAGCAAATACTTTTTAATCTTTATTGATGACTTCTCAAGACATTGCTGGATTTACTTCTTGAAGCAAAAGTCAGAAGTTTTTGATGTGTTCAAGAGATTCAAGGCAGAAGTGGAAAAGCAGCCAGGGTGCAAACTGAAGTTGTTCAGATCAGATAATGGCTCAAAATATACTTCAAAAGAATTCTCCTCTTTCTGCAAAACATAAGGTATAATACATCAACTGACCATTCCTTACACTCCACAGCAAAATGGAGTGAGTGATAGGAAAAATAGGTCAGTGATGGAAATGTCTAGGTGTTTGATGTTTGAAAAAAAAACTACCTAAACATTTTTGGGCTGAGGCAGCAAATACTTCAGTGTATTTGTTAAATTTGCTACCCACTAAAGCCTTGAATAATGCCACTCCTTATGAAATCTGGCATGGTTGTAAACCTTCTGTTGATCATCTAAGAATATTTGGATGTGTGTTCCAAGTGAAAGAAGAAGCAAGTTAGATGCGAAATCAGAGAAAGGGGTGTTTGTTGGTTACAGCCAAGTATCTAAGGGCTATAGAGTGTACAATCCCTCAACCAATAAATTTATGGTTAGTAGGAATGTCATATTTGATGAACAAGCAATTTGGAGCTGGGCAAATGATAATGAAGTGAAAGCAAGTTCAAGTTCAAATCCTGGAACCAATATCTTGTCAGAAAATGATTTATATTCCGGTGATGAAGAAAGTACTCTTGCAACAAAAATGAGATCTCTTGAAGATATTTATGGCAGGTGTAATGTGGCCTCTTTAGAGCCAACTTCATTTGATGAAGCTGTCTACAATGAAGGGTGGAAAACAACAATGAAGAATGAAATGGAAATGATTAATAAGAACTCTACATGGAGCCTAGTTAAAAAACCTGAAAATCACAAGGTGATTGGTGTCAAGTGGATCTATAGAACAAAATTCAATCCTGATGGCACTATAAACAAGCTTAAAGCTAGATTAGTTGTCAAAGGATATCTACAACAGTATGGCATTGATTTCACTGACACTTTTGCTCCAGTAGCCAGGTATGATACTATCAGATTGCTTGTGGCTCTATCTGCTAAACTTGGCTGGAAAATATACCATCTTGATGTTAAATCTGCTTTTTTTAATGGTATACTTGATGAAGATATATATGTAGAGCAACCTGAAGGTTTCAAAGTGCCTAGGAAAGAAGAGCAAGTTTACAAGTTGCATAAGGCTCTTTATGGCCTGAAACAGGCACCAAAAACCTCGTATAGCAGGATACATACTTATTTGCTAAACCAAAATTTCTGCTGCAGTCCAAATGAATCCACTCTTTATGTTAAAAAGGTAAATGGTGATCCATCTTTTATTGTCTCCTTGTATGTTGATGACATCTTTGTGACAGGAGGAGATATGAAATCGGTATCTGATTTCAAGGAGAATATGGAAAAAGAATTTGAGATGTCAAACTTGGGTGAAATGAAGTACTTTCTGGGTATGGAAATAAATCAAGATCACTCAGGCATATTCATCTCTCAGAAAAAATATGCTCAAGATCTGTTCAAAATATTTCAAATGGAAGGTTGCCAGGCTCTTGCAACACCTTTAGCAGTGAATGAAAAACTGAAGAAGATTGATGAATCAGAAGAGAAAGCAAATGCTACATTATATAGAAGTCTCATAGGCAGCCTGCTTTATTTATCCTCTACCAAGCCAGATATAATGTTTGCTACATCTCTAATGTCCAGGTTTATGCATTCACCAGGAAAATCCCACTAGTGTGCAGCCAAAAGGGTGTTACGGTACATAAGGGGGACTATTGATTTTGGTTTGTGGTTCTCTAAAGAGGGTGGCAGTCAACTTATAGGCTACTCAGACAGTGACTGGGCAGGGAGCTTAGATGACTTTAAAAGCACTTCGGGTTACTGTTTTTCATTTGGAAGTGCTATGTTCTGTTGGAACTCAAAAAAACAAGAAATAGTCGCTCAATCATCAGCAGAAGCTGAGTATGTAGCTGCTGCAAGTGCTGCTAATCAGGCCATTTGGCTACGAAAAATTCTTTCAGATTTGGGACAAGATGAACAAGGAAGTGTTACACTCTTTGTGGATAACAAGGCAACCATAGCAATCACCAAAAATCCATTTCATCATGGTAGGACTAAGCATATTAGTGTCAAGTTTCATGCTATTCGTGATGCTAAAAACACAGGTGAAATCAACTTGATGTACTGTAGTTCAGAAGATCAGGTGGCAAACATTTTGACCAAAGCTCTTCCCAAGCCTAAGTTCGAAAATCTGAGAATGAAACTTGGGGTATTAAATAACAAACACCTCAAGGAGGAGTGTTAGAAGATTGAGGTTGTTTATATCTCTTACTGTCTTTCAAGTCAGTAGAGTAGTTGTATTAGTTGAAGTTTTTTGGTTAAAATGTATGGTGATCCTTATTTTAAGAAACTTTTGCTTCTTTATGTAGGTTGTGCTTTAATTAAGGAATGGTGCGTCAGTTTTTTTATATATTTTGTTAGTCTTGTACATTCTATGAACATTAGGTGAATGAAAATCATCTTTATCTATAGTTCTCATCTGTTTTTTTTTTTTTTTTTTCCTCTATTTCGCTTGATTTGCTTCCTTATTGCATAATTTTGTTGGTTATAAAGGCTTGGACACTCTCCTTTAACAAAATTGTTTTTCAAAAAGAGCTTTATCCAAGCCCATCAAAGACTCATTGCCGTCCCAATTGTTTGAGTTGTTGGAGTGCAACATCCAAGAGGGTTGTGGAAGCGTGGTGAAATGTTTTGGAAGAGAAAAAAGGTTTAAACATCCTCCCTTGGCATGGTTTTTTAAGTAGAGTTTTATCCAAACCTATGATACATCTATTGCTCAGCCCAATTGTTTGAATTGTTGGAATAGGTTTCTATCATAAACATATTAATTATTAAAAATAACCAGGATGTAGAAGACGTAAATGTTGTAAGTTTTAGTCCCCTTGCCAAGGAAGTAGACAGACGAAAGTGGATGATCCATAGTGGGGTCTCAGACTTTTTGAGTAGAACCAAGTATTTAGTTGGCTGTTAAGTCCTCACCAACAATTAAATCCAACCCAAGGGTTTATTCACATGGAATTACCTAACATGTATGCTCTGTAAAGCAACCATTGGAAAAGCATCTAGTTGGGCTTCCACCAATAAAAAAAGGAGAGAGAATATCCAATCAAATCTTTTTTGCTAGACGCTTTGATGCTTTCCTATGTGTAAACAAGCCATCCCCTTCGCACTTTGGATACCAAATTCTTTCCATCGAACCCACAAACCCAATTCATACGCTTTTTCTACAGTGTTCTGTTCCTTTTCTATTGAATCTCAGAAATGGAAATGGGTATATTGTTTATTTATCCAGAAATGAGCAATCTCGAGGGATTTTTATTCCCTCCTACTGATGATGAATTCATCATTTTTCTGGAGTAGAAGAGATTTGACCGTGATTTCTCTGTTCAATTCATATCCAATATTTATATTTAAGGGCGTGAAGCGCCGAATTTATCCGGTAAGTATAGTGTCAACCATTGAATTTCTTTTTAAATTCTTTATTTATTATGTCATTAGAAAGGCTGGTAATCTTTTGAAATAAAGAGTATTTTCTGTTATGATTTGATACAGGGCGTTTNCTTATCAATAAAATAGATAAACAGAATAACCTGCTATGAACAATATTAAGAACATCTAGCAACATATCAAGGAACATCATCCAGTCATTTCAGAACAAGAACATCTGATTGTAAGTGCACAATCCACACAATATATTTTCCTAGGTATTCATGACATTTGGTGTTCAGCAACAAGTTAGTTCCTCCCCACAAGCATTTCGACAGGGAGATGGGAGAGAGTGAGAGAGAACTTAGAATCAATAAGCTGAACAGTCTCTAATGAAAATTTATAAATTATGTGGTTTTGACCAGAAAACCATCCTCACCATGAAAAAATACACTGGATATAAGGCAAAACTCAAAATCAGTAATCAAGCTACATACACAGGAAATGCCAGTTCAAACAAACAAAGATTAGGACTGGAGGACTTACGGCCGTATGACATATTTTGTTTTTCCTTCAGCGTCTTGTCCTACTGGAGCCCTGCAGTTATGATAACACATAAAAGCAGATGAATTCAAAAGCAGACTCCATTTGACTCTTATCCAATATCAACTCTAAATTATAAAAATCAGATTCTTCTTGAAAACCCGTAGGATACTTACAACCATCTCAAATTACAATCGGTGAAACATACCTTGTAAGGATGCACGAAGCAACATCCAAACCCAATTTAGCGGATGGATCAAATGAGAATCTGCCATTTTGAGGAGATGGTTAAAAAAATTAACTACTCTGAACAAGCGTTTCAAACTTGGGAATTAGCAAATCAACTTAATAGTTCCACTGTGATTTACACAAAGTTCAAATAATTTTACTGTTTTTAATAACATGCAATTAGTTTTTCTTTAACACCTGTAGAGGGAACCCTCAATTCCTTCAAATCGTATCATTTCTAATTCATCTTCTGGACACCGATAAATTTGCCACATTAATTACCAACTTCAGCTTTAATTCCATGAAAACTAAAATTAATTAAACACTTCTACAAGGACATTCACACACTAGCCAATAAAGATATGTTGCGAAGAAACTTGAAGAAATATAAACTAACTATAAGCACAGTTACCAAAACGTGTTATTGGGAGGACTTAATGGCATAAATAAGCCAAACATAAATCATAGTTTTACAGAAGTTTAGACATGCATCCAGTAACATATCATAGAAGAGAAAATGATAGTTACATATGAGCCTGTCAAATATATCAGAAGCTAATGATCTGAGGTAGTGTAAGGGGATTTTCATCGATAAAATAGTTCGGAAGAAGCATGAGTGATATATTCTTTAGCACAATTAGGTATTGCATGAAAAAAATCTAATTCAGGAATGAATTTTGTGTCCAGGTGTTTGTTTTACAAGGTTCTGAACCTCTCAGAGTAATACTTAATTGTGTCATCATATGCAGGGATAACACCAGACTCACCCTTCTGGTGTTCATGAAGTCACAGAAGAAAAAAATATGCATCAAAACCACAGATCAGTCTAGACAGTCATGCTCTGCAATGAGTTTTATTGAACTTATTTACAAACATATAATTGAATCAAGAGGATATACCTGAACAAACGACTGTTGTGGCTGACTCTTGCAGTGTCTTGCAGCTCAAATTCAATCCACTTATCAGGATTGAGAGCTGAAATTAGATAGAAACATCCACTGAGCTCATGGGGACATTGGCTACAGCTATACATTGAAAGTAAAAGTTTGACCAAAGTAATATAGTCATCAAACTTTGAATGACTTGATCCTAATCTAATTTGGGCAAAAGATACTCACCAATTTTTGGACCTGTCACGTCATTGATTTGATCTAAGTGAACCTGTAATTAAAAAGCAGAAGCAAAGTTGAGTTCTGAATTCCGAAGAAACATCAATGATGTACCATGAAATGATGTACATTTTCAACTCATCAACCGTAATACTCATTTCATAGCTTAAATATAACACAATCCAAACCATATAAAAATGCCTATCTCAATAATAAACTACAGCATCCAAAGGTTACACACTGATCCGTAATCAAAGAACTTAACCATGTGCAAATGAAAAAGTAACAATAACAATCAAACACATTTTTTCCCAGATAAAAACTTATATCAGTTTAAACTACTCTAAAAACGAATTAAATGAATAGTGTGCGTACAACAACAATCACTAAAACCAGCTTAAAGCCGAAAGAAAATATGCTTACACTGAGAAATATACATTTACAAGCAAGTGATCCATCAACCCAGTTTAATAAATGGCCAATTTTAAAGAATATGCAGATGGAGTTCGCAAGAGAAATTACCAAATTTGGGGAGGAAAAGTAGTAGTAGTAAGAGATTCCGCCAGAAGCTGCAGCAATTGCACCCAAGGGAAGTCGAAATTTACTGAAACTGGACTTGGGTTGGCCTCCAAATGCATTGTTGAAGGCAATTGGAGTGGCTTTGGCCAGCTTCCTGAAGAAACTACTAGCCATTTTTCACTTACAGTAGGAGAAACGAAGACAAAGAAAAGAATCAAAGAGTTTGAGGGTCGATTGATGAAGAAAATAAGAAACTATAAGGTGTGCTCGGGTTTTGTTTAAGAACTGTTCATCTCCTTGGTTATTGGGTTTGGGATGACAGATCTTCAAAAATCAACCATCACCATATCGCCACGTGTTGAAAATATTAGGGAGCGTATTAGGAACTTTCCTAAGAGAGGCGGCCCCATTCTAATGGGTCGTACTTTTCGGCCTTATTTATTTGGCCGGGTGTAGGCCTAAAATTAATGTTGGGCCTAGATTTTATGGGCCAACTCACCTGATATGCAGCCCATAGGCGCGTTCCATATACAGTATTAAGAAGATAAGAGATCAATTTAAATGATTGATTAGCAGGGATGAAACAATTACTTTTGATAATAAAATTCTGATGAAAATTAATGTTTCATCTAATTCCTTATCTTTTTTGGGTAATTAGAAATTTTATAAAAAATAAAGAATTAACGACTGAGCAAGATAAAACCCAAAGCAAAACAATCTTTTACAAACACAAAAGACCGTTGAAACGAAACTAGTCTAGACATCTCCTATGTGGTTAACAAATAATCTCAATATGAGCATTGAGATTATTTGTCAAGCGTCTCCTGTGCCATTTGTACCTGGTAGAGAATCTTCATCAGATGGTGTCATCTCTTTCTCCCCAGACTCAAGTGATTCAGCTGCAGTAGTTTCAACAAACTTCGATTCTGCTTTATCTCCATAGATCTCCTCTAATTAGTTTAATATTCAAAAGCTCTTTTATCTCTTCCTTGTGTTTACACATCGTTGTTTTAGTAAAAGAGCACAACACTCATGTATATATTGACCAAACTTGTAAATCAAATATATAATCAATATTTTATACTCCCTTCTTGTTATGGTATCAGAGCTCCTTCCTCTAACGAGCTAGATCCTTCGTTCTTCCTTCCTGTCTTTTGCTTCATTCAAAATGGCCTCCAACACTACTCCAAATAATCTGTCAACAATTGTCGTTGTTCCCTCCAATTTTGCTCAGAATTTAATAACCATAAATGCTGCTACTCAGTTGCCTCTAAAGCTCACGACTCGCAATTATTTTTCCAGGAAAGCTCAATTCAACACCCTTTTCTTTGGTCTGGATCTTCTTGGATATCTTGATGGCACTTTCCCGTATCCCTCTCCAACGGTGACCGAAAATGATTAGTCTATCCCCAACCCAAAATATCTTCCATGGTGTCGACAAGACCAACTTATTCTTCATGCGATTTTTGCGTCTCTGAGTGAAGGTGTCATGCCTTTGGTCTCTTCTGCAACAACTAGTCCTGAAGCTTGGACTCGTCTCTCTCGTCTCTATGCTAAGAGATCTATACACACATGATTCATCTCAAGGATAAACTCACTACGATTACTCGTGATTCTCTTTCTGTTACTGACTTTCTTGTCTCTATCAAACAAATTGCAGATGAACTCATTGCTTTTGGTGCTCCCCCAATTGATGTCGACCTTCTTGTTTATGCAACTCATGGTCTTGGTCCTACTTACAAGGAACTCATTACTGCCTTGAAGACTCGAGATTCTGTTGTTCCATTATAAGAATTATTTGATAAGATTATCGATCATGAGACCTTCCTTCTTCACAATGACAAACACAATTCGGATCCCCACCCACCCACTGCCCACTTAGCCAAACATTCCCTTTCCTCCTACTGAACTCCGAAACCCACTTTTCCTTCCCCAGCGTCTGGCCTCCTTCCTACTCCTGTTGTTGCCCATAAATAATACAAAACCAACCCTCTTCTTCCCCACAGGTTGTCTATCAGTTCTACAGCAAGCGTGGCCATGATGCCAAGCGATGCTTCAAGCTTTTTCCTCAACTTCGCCAACCTCACTCATCTGCCAATCATGTCACCACATTCCCGTCTGCTCAAACTCCATGGATAGTTGACTCTGGTGCATCTCACCACGTTGCCCCTCAGATGTCAAACTTGTCTCTTCATCAACCTTATGAGGGTCCTGGTGACATTCAAATTGGTGATGGTTTAGGTTTAAAAATTACTCATACTGGATCTGTTTCCTTTCCTCCTTTCAATCTCACTCATGTTTTATGTGTGCCTTCTATTAAACAAAATTTAATATCTGTTTCCAAATTCTGTCGCTCCAATCAAATCTCTATTGAATTTTTTCCTTCTTATTTTGTTGTTAAGGATTTATGTACAGGGACTCCTCTCCTCCGCAGAAAGAATCAGCATGATCTTTATGAGTGGCTGACGGCAGAAGATGTGAATAATAGCCCAGCCATGGCTTTCTCTGTTGGTGTAACTGCTTCTACCTCTCCAAGAATTTGGCATGGGCGCCTTGGTCACCCATCTTTAAAAATAAAAAAATATCTGGTTCAGTGTCATTAACCTTTTTCTATTCCCCTTAATTTTATGTGTCAGTCTTGTTTGTGCAATAAAAGCCAACGTCTACCGTTTGGCGAATATACTTTAGCAAGTCGAGGGCCTCTTGATTTAAGTTACACTGATGTCTAGGGACCCTTTCTTGTTCAATCTGTTACTGGTTTTTATCATTATGTTATTTTTGTGGATCATTTCACTAAATATGTTTGGCTATATCCCTTGCGTCTCAAATATGATGTGTTCCATTTTTCGCCAATATAAAGTTGTGGTTGAAAACTTTTTTAAGCGTCATATCATCTCTGTCTACTCGGATGGTGGTGGAGAATATACTACTCTAAAAGATTTTCTAATCACAATGGGAATACAACATCTTAAAACACCACCTCACACACCACAACACAATGGCACTGCTGAAAGATGTCATAAGTATATTGTCGACACTGGTCTAACCCTTCTTCATCAAGCAAAACTCCCTCCAAAATATTGGTCCTATGCTTTTCAAACTACGATTTATTTGATTAATCGGCTTCCCACTCCTTTAACAGATTTTGCTTCCCCTTATAAAAAATTATTTAACCGGAAACCAAATTACAATAAATTGAAAGTGTTTGGGTGTCTTTGCTTTCCTTGGTTAAAACCGTACAATTCCAATAAACTTGAGCCCAAATCTTCTCCATGTATTTTTCTTAGTTACTCTCTTAATCAAAGTGCATATTTTTGTTTAGATATTACCACAAAAAAAATTAAATTTACACCTCTTGTCATGTTAGATTTGTTGAAACTGAATTTCTTTTTTCACATTCCGCTTTCGCTGATTTTTCATCTCTTTATGATTGGCACTTGTCTTTACCTTCTTCTTCTCCACCAACTACATCCTTGCCTCCTGTTGCGCAACACTCACCAGTAGAGACCACCATGGCAGCTCCTTTGCACATTTTGCGGCAGCCTCTCATCATATCTTTGCCGCCTCTTTCTGCTGAGTCAGGTACTTCCACTCATAATTCCTCTCCTCTAAATATTGTTTCTCCCTCACTTCCTGGTTCTAGTTCTCTTGTTGCAGATATTCCTCTTGTCGATTCCTCATCACAACTTCCAGCCCATCCTATGCCACAAAAATCTACCACCCTTCCACAAACTTTCTCTCATTCCATGACTACTCGCTCCAAAAATAACATTTTCAAACCCAAATGTCTCTATCATAAAACTACAAACCATCCTCTTCCCGCCTCTGTTGAACCCACTTGTGTTACCCAGGCCATTAAATTTGTTGAATGGCATCACGCCATGTCTGATGAGCTTATGACACTGCTTCGCAATGGAACACAGGAACTTGTCCCTCATTCTCCTTCTCAAAATATAGTTGGCTGCAACGAGACCCCAATGGATCCATCTCCAAGTACAAAGCCTATCTCATCGCCAAGGGGTATCACCAACGTCATGGTATTGATTTTCATGACACTTTTAGTCCGGTTGTTAAATCCACGATTATTCGGTTGATATTGTCTCTCACCTTGTCCAATGACTGGAATTTACATCAATTGGATGTTAACAATGCTTTTCTTCATGGAACATTGTCTGAAGAAGTCTTTATGCAACAACTGCCAGACTTTATTGATAAACACCATCCACACTTTGTTTGCAAATTACGGAAGGCCATGTACGATCTTAAACAGGCTCCAAGGGCATGGTATAATGAGCTCAAAGGTTTTTAAATCTCTTATGGGTTTACTAATTCACGTAGTGACACTTCGCTTTTCATCTATCATCATAGGTATTATTCTCTATTTTTTGGTTTATGTAGATGATTTGATTGTCACCGGCAATGACAACCCGACTCTCACATGTTTTTTGAAAGCATTGGCATCTCGCTTTTCTGTCAAAGACATTGGTGATCTTTACTATTTTCTTGATATTGAAGTTCTGCCAACCAATTTTGGGCTTCTTTTAACCCAGCACAAATATATAAGAGACTTATTGGAATGGACAAAAATGTATGGAGCAAAAGAATGCAATACGCCTATGTCTTCCACTCAGTCTCTTCAGCTACATGACGATTCTTTGTCCACCGATGCAACCCAGTTTCAGCAAGTTCTTGGTGCCCTCCAATATTTGTCCCTCACTCGGCCTAACATATCTTACACAGTCAACAAACTGGCACAATCCATGCACTCTCCAACTGAGATTCACTGGTCGACAGTCAAACAGATTTTACGCTACTTGAAAGCTACCATATATCATGGTCTATTTCTTAAACGTCATCAAAAGCTTTGTGTTACGACTTTTACAAACGCTGATTGGGCGGGCAATCGTGATGATCGCACATCCACTTTTGCATACATTGTCTATCTCGGTGGTAATGCAATTTCCTGGCATTTCAAGAAACAAAAAATTGTTGCCCATTCCTCAACAGAAGTAGAATATCGGGCTCTTGCTGAATGAAATAGAGACAATAACAGGAACAAAATAATAATAGTAAAACAAAACAAACAGTAAACAAAGAAAATAATACGCGCGATTTACCCTGGTTCACCCAATGTGGGCTACGTCCAGCTGAGTCAATATTATTGCAATATGCCTCACCTCTCTCGTTTACAATGAATGAATTGCTCTCTAACTCATAACAAGAGAAAAGTATGTTTATATACTAGATTTAAGAGATTAAACCTAGT